CCTCCAAATTACACTGACGATGGGGCACAATTTCTCCCAATGACACCAATGATGGGGCACGGTTCCTCTCATTGACGCCAACAATGGAGCACAATTCCTCCCACTGACACAAAAAATGAAGCGCAATTGCTCCTACAGACTCCAAAGTTGGGGCATTGTCAATTTCCACTGATGTCGGGACCTTTTCTATACCCAATGGCCACAGTCCTGCCCCCCAAAGTCTGAAGGACAGTAAACTGGCCCTTTGATTAGAAAGTTTGGAGACCCCTGCTGTAGTCCCTAATACAATATGCAACACCTGATCTGAGCTCTAGGAGGCAATAGAGTTCCCTTCCTGTGCCTCTGTGCTCTCTGAAGGCCTTGCCACACAATCTTCAATGTCCTATGTGAGTTTCTAGATGGCAGCAAAGTACCCCTCCCTCTGTCTTTTCTATTGTCTGTAGTCTCTATTACAATCTGCAATGCGGTATTATTTTTTTAAAGATTTGAGCATTAGATGGCAGAAGAGTACCCAAAAGTAACTGACACGCAAAGGAATACCTGATCTGGGTTCTAGATGGCAGCAGAGTTCCCAGCCTGTGCCTGTGCATTCTCTTCTATTCCTGGCACATTTCTGTAACACTCCATGTGAGCTGCAGATGGCAGCAAAGTACTATCATTCTTGGCTGGAGTCTTCTCTGCAGTCCTGGACACACTGCAATACCTGATGTCATGAACCTGATGGGAGACTGAAATGACGAGGTCGGCCTCACTTGTGTCACTAGTCCTTACCCCGCTGGAGGTGGAACAGAGGGAGTCTAGGACCCAGGGGAACAAGAGCGCCAGTAGTTGTTGTTTGCAGCTCTTGCAGATGATGACCTTGGAAGGCTGATGATCCTCTGGTCCAGGCACAGTAGTAACAAGCAGAGCAGGTTTTGTAGATTGCTAGGGCATGCACCAGAGCAAGGCAAGTAGTGAGGGTAAGAGACAGGAGCAGTGTCATGGGATTGCCAGGGTCATCAACAGTCAGGCAGCACGGTACAGAATCAAAGGTCAGGAGCAGAGTCGAAGTCAGGAACCAGTATCAGGAGAGCAATCAGAGTCAGGTGAGGAACAAGCCGGGTCAGCAACAAAGGAATCACACAGGAACAAGCAGGACACGGGGAGCTGAAGACCAGTCAGCACTCTCAACATGGGCAGAGACACTCTTTAAATAGGCCGTCTGGCGCCAATCTTCGCCGTGCGTATGCACGTGCGTGTGCATGCGCACGTGTGTGCATGCGTGTGCGCGATCGAGCATTTCTGCACGCATTCGCATAACCGTAATTCTTCTCCAGGAAATCCTGTGCGCATGCGCATTTTCGATCGCGTTTCGTCTTGCCAGAAATCCGTTACACCTGATCTGAGCTGTAGATGGCGGCAAAGTACTAATTCTTGGCCGTAGTCTTCTCTGCAGTCATGGACACACTGCAATACCTGATCTGAGCTGTAGATGGCGGCAAAGTACTCATTCTTGGCCGGAGTCTTCTCTGCAGTCCTGGACACACTGCAATACCTGATCTGAGCTGTAGATGGCGGCAAAGTACTCATTCTTGCCCGAGTCTTCTCTGCAGTCCTGGACACACTGCAATACCTGATCTGAGCTGTAGATGGCGGCAAAGTACTCATTCTTGGCCCGAGTCTTCTCTGCAGTCCTGGACACACTGCAATACCTGATCTGAGCTGTAGATGGCGGCAAAGTACTCATTCTTGGCCCGAGTCTTCTCTGCAGTCCCTGGACACACTGCAATACCTGATCTGAGCTGTAGATGGCGGCAAAGTACTCATTCTTGGCCGGAGTCTTCTCTGCAGTCATGGACACACTGCAATACCTGATCTGAGCTGTAGATGGCGGCAAAGTACTCATTCTTGGCCAGAGTCTTCTCTGCAGTCCTGGACACACTGCAATATCTGATCTGAGCTGTAGATGGCGGCAAAGTACTCATTCTTGGCCAGAGTCTTCTCTGCAGTCCTGGACACACTGCAATATCTGATCTGAGCCAGTGGCATTACTAAAGGGGTGAGGATCGCACCCAGGTGACACCTGCCAGAGGGGTGACACCCATAGGCATGCACATGGGTGGACACACTGGAAACACTGCAATACCTAATCTGAGCCAGTGGTGTCTCTTTGGGGCTGTGGACTGCACCTGGGTGGCACCTGCCAGAGGGGCAACACCCATAGGCATGCGCATGGGGTGTGCAAGGCAGGGGCGCACTAGTGCAGGCACTCTCTGCATCTCTTGGTTGATTAGAGCACTTCCCCCACATATGTCAACATTCCAAGACAGGCAGAGTCCTGCGGTAACAGAAATGATTGGGCGGGACTGAAGATTGGTCTATCCAAGTTTCTTGGGTTGAGTGAAGTGGTTGGGGAGGTACTGCAAGTGCCAGGAGTGGGTGGAGTCTGAGCTGTTGTAATAGAGACATGCGGGATCAGCTGCAGGAGAGCAGACTCCAGAACCGGCTGATGTCACTCAGGTAAATCATAACCCCCATTCCCCTCCAGGGGAAACAACCTCCCCCTTCTACAGAGATCCTACCTCTCTATAACACACTAGTAATGTCTGAACCCCCCTATCTGACAAATTCCAATCCAACCCCTATAGGCTAACAATTCCCCCAGCAGTCAATAAGGTCTCCTGGCTACTCACCCCCCCCCCCCCCCTATTAGCATAGGGAGGTGAAGTTAGTTATAAATGGTTATTATGTGTAGGTTAGGTAATTAGGTTAGGTTACAGAAACAGGATATTTTGGGGGGTTGGAATACATGGTAAGTCAACAAGGTGTAAATATTTAGGGGTGGAGTGTGTGCTTAGTTACAATGCAGGGTAGGTTAGAAAGGATGGAGGAAGTAGGGTTAAATAGTTAGGATGGGGATAGGTTTAGCTAGTTAGGATAGGGTAGGTAGGGTTAGCATATCCTCCTAACAATCCAAGAATCGGCAGAAACCTTCCCAAGATTTTAAAGTCCATCACACTGAATGCGGGCTAAATCCGTGAGGTGGAGGAAGACTTGTGCATAGAATGGGAATTAGGGGAGGGATTTGCTCTTGGGGAGGAATTCAGGATTTCGTAGGGGGGCTGGCGGGGGTGACACCATGTTTCACCGCACCAGGGTGACACCGACTCTAGTGACACCACTGACCTGAGCTGCAAATGGCAATCAGATTTCCCATCATTGCACCAGTCTTCTCTCAGTCTTGGTCACACTGCAATATCTGATCTGAGCTGTAGATGGTGGCAGATTTCCCATCATTGGCCTGTGTCTTCTCTGCAGTCCTGGTAATGCAGCAGTAACCTGATATGAGCTGTAGATGGCGGCATATTTCCCAGAGTCTTCTCTGCAGTCCTGGTCATGCTGCAATACTTGATCTGAGCTGTAGATGGTGGCAGATTTCCCATCATTGGCCTGAGTCTTCTCTGCAGTCCTGGACACGACGCAATACCTTATCTGAGCTGTAGATGGCAGCAGATTTCCCATCATTGGCCTGAGTCTTCTCTTCAGTCCTGATCACACTGCAATACCTAATCAGAGCTGTAGTTGGCAGCAGATTTCCCCATCATTGACCTAAGCCTTCTCTGCAATCCTGGTCATGCTGCAATACCTTATCTGAGCTGCAGATAGCAGTATATTCCCTACTACTGGCCTAAGCCTTCAATGCAGTCCCGGTCATGCTGCAATACCTGATTTGAGCTGTAGATAGCAGCAGATTTTCCATCATTGGCCTGAGCCTTCTCTGCAGTCCTGGCCACACTGCAATATCTGAACTGAGCTGTTGATGGCGGCAGATTCCCCATCATTGGCCTGAGTCTTCTCTGCAGTCCAGGTCAAACTGCAATACCTGCTGTGTGAGCTGTAGATGGTGGCAGATTCCCCATCATTGGCCTGTGTCTTCTCTCTGCAGTCCTGGACATGCTGCAATGCCTGATCTGAGCTGTAAACGTCAACAAATTTCCCAACATTGGCCTGAGTCTTCTCTGCAGTCCCAGTCATGTCTGCAATACCTGATCTGAGCTGTAGATGGCAGCAGATTTTCCATTATTGGCCTGAGCCTTTTTTGCAGTCCCAGTCATGCTGCAATACCTGATCTGAGCTGTAGATGGTGGCAGATTCTCCATCATTGGCCTGAGTCTTCTCTGCAGTCTTGGTCACACTACAATACCTGATCTGAGCTGTAGATTGCAGCAAATTTCCCATCATTGGCCTGAGTCTTCTCTGCAGTCCTGGTCCCACTACAATACCCTGATCTGAGCTGCAGATGGCAGCAGTTTACCCATAATTGGCCAGAGCCTTCTCTGCAGTCCTGGTCACTGTTGGATTTTCTGAGACACATATAGTACTTCTTTAGTGTCTATAGGCGGTTATGCTGGTAATTAAAGAGCTGGAAAGGTAAAAAATAAAGTGTGATTTTATTGTATCACACAATGGCTTAAAATAACAATAAAATGTGTATCATGAACAGTTCAGACATATCAAAGCCGAAGTTTAAAGATAAGTCACCATTATTGTCATGGCTGCCCGGCCATGCGGTCTTGTCTGGTGACGCTTCTTCTTCAGAGTCTTTCCGGAAGTAGACGTTAGTGACTATTTCTTGTCTTACAGCACCTGTCCCAGCTTCTCAGAATGTTCCGATTGTATGTCTGTGTGGACAGACGTGTGCGTGTGTGAGAGTGTGTGTATGCGTGTGTATGTGTGTGTGTGAGAGAGTGTTGTTGAGAATGTGAGACTGTCCCCTTAGGGCCTTTTTATGAAGCAAGAAAGCGTCATAATTATTTGTGATCTTGAGACCTTGTATGGCAAACAATACTACTTAGCAGAGCAATTTCATTGAAGGGAGGGGACGTCTACATATATGGCCTTTTGATTGACAGGTACATAATGGGATAGTGACCATAAATTGAAACCCATATTATTACACTTGCTTCACCCCTTCCAGTCCGGACACTTCCCCCCCCCTTCCAGTCCGGACACTTCCCCCCCTTCCAGTCCAGACACTTTCCCCCCCTTTCCAGTCCAGACACTTTCCCTCCCTTCCAGTCCGGACACCTTTCCCCCCCCCTTCCAGTCCGGACACTTCCCCCCCTTCCAGTCCGGACACTTTCCCCCCCTTCCAGTCCGGACACTTTCACCCCCTTCCAGTCCGGAAAACACTTCCCCCCCCTTCCTGTCTGGACACTTTCCCCCCTTCGGCCAGTGCCAGACACTTATTCCCCCCCTTCCCAGTCCCGGACACTTTCCCCCCTTCCATGTCCAGGGACACTTTCCCCTCCTTCCAGTCCGGACACTTTCCCCCCCTTCCAGTCCGGACACTTTCAAAGACCCCCTCCAGCCCCAGTCCGGAACACATTTTCCCCCCCCCTTCCAGTCCGGTGGGCACACTTTTCACCCCCTTCCATGTTCCCAGACACTTTCCACCCCTCCCCCCCCCCTTCCAGTCCGGACACTTTCACCCCCCCCCTTTCAGTCCGACACTTCCCCCCCCTTCCTGTCTGGACACTTTCCCTCCCCTTTCCCCCTTCCAGTCCAGACACTTCCCCCCACAAAAAATCCTGTCTGGGACACTTTCCCCCCCCTTCCAAGTCCGGACACTTTCCCCCCCTAGAGCCAGTCCCGGACACTTTCACACACCTTCCAGTCTGGACACTTTCCCCCCCTTCCAGTCCGGACACTTCCCCCCCAAGTTTTTTCCAGTCCGAACACTTTTCCCCCCCCCCTAAAAAACCAGTTCCGGCTACACTTTCCCCCCCCTTCCAGTCCGGACACTTTCCAACTTTCAACCCCCTTCCAGTCTGAACACTTTCCCCCCCTTCCAGTCGGACACTTTCCCCCCCTTCCAGTCCAGACACTACCACCCCCCCCCCCTTCTCAGTCGGACACTTTCACCCCCTTCCAGTCCGGACACTTTCCCCCCCTTCCAGTCCGGACACTTTCCCCCCTTCCAGTCCGGACACTTTCACCCCTTCCAGTCCGGACACTTTCCCCCCCTTCCAGTCCGGACACTTTCACCCCCTTTCCAGTCCGAACACTTTCCCCCCCTTTCCAGTCCGGACACTTTTTCCCCCCCCCCCCCTTCCAGTCCGGACACTTTTCACCCCTTCCAGTCCGGACACTTTCCTCCTTCCAGTCCGGACACTTTCACAACCCCTTCCAGTCCGGACACTTTCCCCCCCCTTCCAGTCCGGACACTTTTCACCCCCTTCCAGTCAGGACACTTTCCCCCCCTTCCAGTCCGGACACTTTCACCCCCTTCCAGTCCGAACACTTTCCCCCCCTTCCAGTCCGGACACTTTCCCCCTTTTCCAGTCCAGACACTTTCCCCCCCCCCCCCCCCCCCTTCCCAGTCCGGACACTTGACACTCCACACCCCCTTCCAGTCCGGACACTTTCCTCCTTCCAGTCCAGACACTTTCACCCCCTTCCAGTCCCGGACACTTCCTCCTTCCAGTCCAGACACTTTCACACACCCCTTCCAGTCCGGACACTTTCCCCCCCTTCCTGTCCAGACACTTCCCCCCCTCCCCCCCCTCCTGTCTAGGGCAATTTTCAGCTTTCAGCGCTATCACACTTTGAATGACAATTGCGCGGTCATGCAACACTGTACCCAAAATAATTTTTTACCATTTTTTTAGACAGATAAAGCTTTATTTTGGTGGTATTTATTCACCGCTGGGGATTTTTATTTTTTTTTGCTATGTAAATGAAAAAAGTCCACAAATTTTGAAAAAAAGTGTTTTTCTTATAAAATTTTGCAAAATAAATAATCTTTCATCATAAATCTCGGCCAAAATGTATTCCGTTATCTTTTTAGTAAAAAAAAAAATAAGCCAAATTAGTTTATAACCAAAAATTATAAATTTTTAAACTTTTTTTTTTTTTTTACATTTTTATTTTATTTTTTATATTATTTATTTTTTTTTTTTTTTCTACATACTGTCACCCTAGCAGTGTGGGGTCACACCATGGAGACACTGTACTACTTGTGGGGAGTGATGAAGATTTTTTTTTTTTTTTTTTTACAGTGATTGCTTTTTACACCCATATAGGATGTAACATCAATCATTTCTCTCTTCTCTCTGTCTGCATTCTTGCAGCCATTGAGAACTACTGTGAGAGCTTGTGATTGGTCACAGCTTGTCACATGGTATAAACAAGCCTGTTGTGAATAGCCCTGTACCATGTGATCTCTGTGATCATTCACAGATTTCACACGTTGCAAGCAATGATGTCACAAGTGACATCTTGCTTACTACTTTGCATGTGATCACTGATTGGCCAATCAGTGATCACATGAATCGGGACCTCGCACAGAGGTCCAGTCCGACGATTGGTGTTTCACTGTGTCTGGAGGACACAGCGGGCACTGGATCGCGGTGGTGCGTGCTCCCGGCTAGAAAATGGCGGGTGCCGTTTATGAACGGCAACCCGCCCCTGGAGTGCCACCGTCCGCGAAAAGTCCGTTTATAAACAGCAGACGGACGGCAAGTGGTTAACAATGTATCTTTACAGCATCTCAATAATGTAGAACCACAAATCTACGGATGGAACATATTACCGACTTATAAATCAAACTAAATCCCCGCAGATACTATTAGAAGACGTGACGTAATACTTGTGGTTACTCCGTGACATCACCAGAGTCCTCCAACCAGCTCTGCCTGCCATAGAATACTCAGCCTATATAACTCCTCTCTTATTATTGTGTCTCAGCTAGAAGAACTGAAGAAATGTATCCTATCATTTGTCCAATTCACACATATTAATATTAATGATGATTCATCATAAAAAACAAATATTTTTACACGTTTGCCATCAATATAATATAAGTGCCGAGTTATGAATTTGATATCATTCATATTTATCAGTCACACTGCAGTTCCTGATCTGAGCTGTAGATGGCGGCAGGTTGCAGATTTTTGTGTTAAAGCCCAACTCCAGCTAAAACATTTTTTAGTTTTTTTTATAGAGAGATGAAGGGATAAAACCTGGAGGGGGGAGGGGGTCCTGCTGGGGAGATTTTCCCTCATTTCCTGACACCCAGGAAGAGATTTGCTAGGATTTCATTTTTTTTAATAATCCGTCCTCCCTGTTTCTCTCATTGTTCCTCTCTCCCTCAGCCACCCCTCCCCTCCCCCTTACACTCTGTGGTGACACTGCAAGCTATACACCACATGCAGTCTCACTTACTACACCGCTGCGATATCACACAGTGTCTGGATTTGACCCCCACTGAACATCTGACAATGTCACCAACAAACAGGAAGCCAACATGGAGGTTTTCACACCTCAAATAATTGGTATTGACACTTAGAAATGAGGTTCCCCTTTCTGCTCTCACTTCACACCAGCACAGTGACCGTTCAGCTCAGTGTCGGAGTGCCATCCTTCTGGGGTCCGGCTGTGCGCCATTCGTCCAGGATCAGTGTCTCCTTTCTTGATCGGAGGGGTAAGTAGAGGCCGATTCATTAATCTTCTATTAGGGTCATAGTTGCTATAGTGCGCCTCCCCACAATTTGTCCTGTTTAAGAGTGAAGATTAGGGCCCCTTTGTGATCTGGGGGTCCTTCTTCATTCACAGTTGGATAAGTAGGGTCTCCTCTCGATCTTCTCTCTTCATCAGTGGTCTCTGGGATGAGGGTCTCCTCTATTATCTGGGTTCAGAGTGTCCTATAGCATGAGGGGATCCCCATCAATTTGGGTCCTCTCTTATCTGGTTTTCTTCATCAGTGATTCTGGGATAAGGAATTAGGGCCTCCATCATGTCTGGGAATGTGATCTGGGTGTCCATTTCTTCATCACTGTCTGGGATGAGGGTCTCCTCTCTGATCTGGGGTCCCTCTATTCATCAGTGTCTGGGATGAGGGTCTCCTCTCTTATCTGGTGTCCCTCTCTTCATCAGTGTCTGGGATGAGGTCTCCTCTTTGATCTGGGGTCCCTCTCTTCATCAGTGTCTGGGATGAGGGTCTCCTCTCTTATCTGGGGGTCCCTCTCTTCATCAGTGTCTGGGGATGAGGGTCTCCTCTCTGATCTGGGGTCCCTCTCTTCATCAGTGTCTGGGGATGAGGGTCTCCTCTCTGATCTGGTGTCCCTCTATTCATCAGTGTCTGAGATGAGGGTCTCCTCTCTGATCTGGTGTCCCTCTATTCATCAGTGTCTGGGGATGAGGGTCTCCTCTCTTATCTGGGGTCCCTCTCTTCATCAGTGTCTGGGATGAGAGGTCTCCTCTGTGATCTGGGTCCCATCAGTGTATGAGGGTCTCCTACTCTAATCAGTCCTCTCCTTCAATTGTCTGGGATGAGGGTCCTCCTCTCTGATCTGGGTCCCTCTATTTATCAGTGTCTGGATGAGGGTCTCATCCCTCTCTCATTTATCTGGGTGTCCCTCCTCTCTTATCATGTCCCCTCAATTGTCTGGGATGAGGGTCTCCTCTCTTGATCTGGGGTCCCTCTCTTCATCAGTGTCTGGGATGAGGGTCTCCTTCTCTGATCTGGTCGTGTCCCTCTATTCATCAGTGTCTGGGATGATTGAGGTCTCCTCTCTTATCTGGGTCCCTCTCTTCATCAGTGTCTGGGGATGAGGGTCTCCTCTCTGATCTGGGGTCCCTCTCTTCATCAGTGTCTGGGATGAGGGTCTCCTCTCTTATCTGGGTCCCTCTCTTCATCAGTGTCTGGGATGAGGGTCTCCTCTCTGATCTGGGGGTCCCTCTCAATTCATCAGTGTCTGAGATGAGGGTCTCCTCTCTTATCTGGGGTCCCTCTCTTCATCAGTTGTCTGGGATGAGGGTCTCCTCTCTTATCTGGGTGTCCCTCTCTTCATCAGTGTCTGGGGATGAGGGTCTCCTCTTTATCTGGGGTCCCTATTCTCTTCATCAGTGTCTGGGATGAGGGTCTCTCTCTTTATCTGGGGTCCCTCTCTTCATCAGTGTCTGGGATGCATGAGGGTCTCCCTCTGTGATCTGGGGTCCTCTCTTCATCAGTGTCTGGGATGAGGGTCTCCTCTCTGATCTGGGGGGTCCCTCTCTTCAATCAGTGTCTGGATGAGGGTCTCCTCTCTTATCTGGGGTCCCTCTCTCTCATCAGTGTCTGGGATGAGGGTCTCCTCTCTTATCTGGGGTCCCTCTCTTCATCAGTGTCTGGGATGAGGGTCTCCTCTCTTATCTGGGGTCCCTCTCTTCATCAGTGTCTGGGATGAGGGTCATTCCTCTCTGATCTAGGGGGTCCCTCTCTTCATCAGTGTCTGGGATGAGGGTCTCCTCTCTTATCTGGGGTCCCTCTCTTCATCAGTGTCTGGGATGAGGGTCTCCTTCTCTTATCTGGGGTCCCTCTCTTTCATCAGTGTCTTGGGATGAGGGTCTCCTCTGTGATCTGGGGTCCCTCTATTCATCAGTGTCTGGGATGAGGGTCTCCTCTCTGTGATCTGGATGAGGGTCCTTTCTCTCTTCATCAGTGTCTGGGATGAGGGTCTCCTTTTCTTATCTGGGGTCCCTCTCTTCATCAGTGTCCTGGGATGAGGGTCTCCTCTGTGATCTGGGGTCCCTCTATTCATCAGTGTCTGGGATGAGGGTCTCCTCTCTTATCTGGGGGTCCCTCTCTTCACATCAGTGTCTGGGATGAGGG